TCATGTCTAATATAACAAGTCATTAGATCGACAGTTACAAATGTGGTGGTTTATATAAATTTTGTTCTTTGGGTAGAACTTAGGGAGTCTCTTTAAGTACTTCATCAAATACAAATAAAAATTTTTTCATCATCTATCAATGTATTCAATCTATGCAAAAGTATATGAAGTTAAATTACTGTTCCGCAATGTGGCCAGCGTCAACGACGTCAACAGCGTCAACGGCGTCAACAGCATCAACAGCGTCAACTATTATCTTGAGAAATTGTAAAAAAAATTAAAAACGAAACACAACTTTTTTTCCACCTGAATCGTCAAACACAGGAATAGATTAAATGATATTTTAGTACAAAAGCAGAATAAAAAATGAAAAGAATCAGAATGAAAAGCTTCAAGAATATTTACGAGAGTAGGTTGATTTAATCATCAGCTAACACGTTTAAACTAACTTTTATGGCGTTGACAACATTAACTGTTCAGCAGTAACAGCATTAACTTGTCATATCAGATAGATATAAACATGCATAATTTTTATGTAATTTATATCAAATTATTTATAAGTAAACTTTTAAAACTGATTATGCATATAACAACATTATTATGCATATAACAACATTATAGTTAAAGTTTAATTCAATTCGAGATACTTATTAATAAATAAAAATATTTATTTTTTTCAATTCAAAATAATTTTCAAATGTTTTCTAAACTTTTTTTTGGAATAGGCAATTTATTTTTTTTATAAACAATTTCTGATTACCGTGTATTTTTAAAGAAACTTTGACGCCACAATCTGCATACATAAAGTCGAAGTTTATTTTTGTTTAAAAAATATCTCAAACATTTGTTGCTTGCAATTCCGCAAATCTGCCAATAGCCACCATTACTACAAAGAAAAAATATCTTTATTTTTCACATAAGTTATTAATTATTAAAAAATCTATTTATATATTTAGCTTCATTTGTAAAAGCTTCTGAAATTATGACATAATTATTAATATTTTCTTTTTTTCACAGACGCTGGAGATAATAAAATATTTAATGTAGTCGTGAAATTAATAACTAATTCTGACTAATAATTTAAAAATCATTCAATATTATTATGACGCAATCATTCTAGTTGTGACGCAATTTTGATAATAGTTTTATTTGCTTTAAATTTATTTTGTAAAGATTTATTTCAAAGTTTATGTTTGAAAAGGGTATAAAAATTATAGATTAATAACAATAAATTATGTATTATGTTAAAATGATTCATATTTTATAAATCTTTATAAATCTTCATCCGAATTAACATTATTTGGAAAAAATAAACAAATCTATTCGTCTGAATTAATCAACATACTGTTACTGCTTTTATAAAGCACAAAATCATTTTTCTTTCGAAATAATTATAAAACATTTTAAAAAGTTCTCTTATCAGAGCCAAATAAAAAATTTTACCCTAATTTGGAAATGAACAGCTAGGACTGTCAAAAACCATGAAAATGTCTGCCTGGGTACCCGTTGAACAAACGGCGGGTACCTGTTAAAAAAAATAATAACGCTATAAAAATTGTACTTATAAACAGTTAATAAAAACTTTTTTTTCAATAATACCGTTTTTTTAGAGCTGTTCTTTTTCACTTATATCTAAATTTATACATCCCTGTACCGCGAATCGTTGGCTGCGATCAAACCCTTTATTTATAAAATTCTCTTTGCTTCGCGGAAGTTAAATTATAAAAATCGAACGAGATTTTTATTAGCTTTTCTTATGTCTTTTTTTTCACAAACAATTCCCTCTAAAAATTTTAACGATACGAACATGTTATATATTTGTTATTGCAATTATTTTAAAAGTAAAGTATAAAGAATAAATAACAACTATTTTTATAAAACATTTATTTGTTACAAATTGATGAATACTAATTTCTTTAATGTTTACTAAACTTTTTATGCGCACAAAACTATAAAAAAATTTTAAATCAAAAAATACTAATATATATATATATATATATATATATATATATATATATATATATATATATATATATATATATATATATATTTTACATTTTAAGTCTTACATTTGTCGTAATACAATACTTTAACAAATACAAACAAGGTTTCTGAAAGAAGATCATACTGATCTTATCATCAGAACCTTTTACAAGCATTTAGCATAATTATTTACAATGTATATAATCTATATATAAAATAAACAACAAAAAGAGTCGTTACATATAACGTATTTTACAATTAACTTAAAACGTATTTTACAATTAAAAAATTTCTAAATAAAGGTACATAATTACAATTAGAAGAACCTTATTATGTCATCGGAAAATAAAATTAAATTTTTGAGTTTATGTTTGAAAATTGAAAAAGTGTAAAATATATCAAAATTTGGCAAAACAACTTTATTCCAAAGATATGGCGCACGATAAGCAATACCATACTGGTTAAACTTTGTTCGACAAAAAGGTTTATGCAAAAATTTATTATTTCTAAGAGTGTATTTATTTATTGGTTTTTCACAAAAGAGAACTTTAAAGATAGGTAGGGATAAGTTATTTTTCCACAAATACATAAAGCATAAAACATTAAACACATTAAGCTCGTAAATATTAAGAATTTTCATTTCAATAAAAAAAGGTTTGGAATGAGTGTATCGATCCGCAAAATTAATTAAACGGATCGCATGCTTCTGACGGTAAAGACATTGTAATTTGCTTTTTTCTGTGCTTCCTCAAGCAATATTTGCATAATTTAAATAGGTATGAATAAATGAGTAGTATAGTTGGGTTAAATCTTTTTTACATAGATATGTTCTGGATTTATATAAAATTCCAATGCTTTTAGAAATTTTTGTGCTAATATAGTCAATATGCGCTTTCTATGTGATGTTTTCATCAAGAAAAACACCCAAAAACCTTGTGACATAGTGTCTTTTTATAACAGTATTATCAATAAAGATTTCTGGTAAATTTTGGGGTAAATAAGGTTTTTTTGCGATTGGATGGAAGAGAATCCATTTTGTTTTGTTACTGTTAAGAATTAGCTTATTGCATATAAACCATTTTGATATGTTTTTAAGTTTATCGTTCATTCTAGAAAAGAGTTTGTAAATATCATTATTGGAAAGAAATAAGTTAGTGTCATCAGCAAACATTATACTCATTAAATTTGAGGCTTTATTTAGGTTGTTTATATAAATCAAGAACAACAGTGGTCCCAAAATGGAACTTGGGAAACGCCACATGAAACATTTAGGAACTCATTTGAATAACAACTATTACTAAAAACAAATTGTTTACGGTTAGATAAATAACTATGGAATAAATTACAAAGTTATTTTATAACTTTGTAATTTATTCCATAGTATTTCAGTTTTTGTTTCAAAATTTCATTATCTACAGTATCGAACGCCTTCGATAGGTCGATAAAAACACCTAATGTAAATTTAGATTTTTCAAAAGAATTTGAAATTTCACTTACAAGTTGGATAATTGCATGTTCCGTCGAATTATTTTTTTTTAAAACCAAACTGGTTGGCGTATAACAAATTATTAGTAAGGAGATAATTGTATAATCTATTATACATAACGCGTTCTAGTATTTTTGAGAATGTGCAGAGGGCGGAGATAGGACGATAATTACTGATATTTGTTTTATCTCCCTCTTTTAAAATTGGGGTAACTTTAGCAATTTTTAATTGATCCGGAAAAACTCCTTTGTGGATAGATGCTCCATAAACCTTAAAAATTATATCTTTTAGTTGTTCAAAACATTCTATAACTATATTACCGTTTTGTCATCTGCTCCGCTTGTTTTGATTTTTTTTAAGGGATTTGAATGCTTTTTCGAATTCATGAAAAGTTAGCTCAGAATATAATTCGTTGGAACTAATGCAATTATCCATCTGTACTAAAAAATCGTTAAATTTTGCTTTGGTATAAGGAATTTTATTTGCTAGTTTAGGACCGATGTCAGTGAAGAATTTATGAAACTCATGAGCTATAGCCTTTGGTTCGCATATGCGTTTGTTATCCACTATAACCTTCGGGGAAGAAAACTTGAGCATTTTTTTTGTCTGCCAGTAATTTCGTTCATTATTTGCCAATTGTAAAAAAATGTCATATATGAGGATTCGACTTGTAAACCATATATTTTACTTTTAACCTGTAGTTGAAAACTATTTATTATTTGTTTGTTTGATAATATTCTGCTAATGCAAAGCTATTCTAAACACTTGAGTCAATCTTGGCAAATGTTATTTTGTATTGTTTTTAGTTATCCATTTAATAATGAAGTTATTTAAAATGTTGCCTTGGCTATTTAGTTCATAAATTAGACATAATACTAGTCTAACTCACTTAACGAAGTGCACCAACGAGAACGTAAGCCATAGGGCTTTGCACTCCATCAATAAACTGTCGTCTTGCCTAAGGTTAGCCCTCCATTTTTGGATTCTTTTCTTTTCTTGATAGGCAATTTAAATTAAGTATTAGTAATGTTTCCTAAGGTTAGTCCTCCCTTTTTGGATTCTTTCCTTTTTTTAATAGGCAATTTAAATTAAGTATTAGTAGTGTTGCCTAAGATTAGCCCTCCATTTCTGGATTCTTTTTTTCTCTTTTTTTCTCTTTTTTTTGATACGCAGTTTGCACAAATATTTTTAAAACATTTTGTTTATTTATTTTACTTTAATTTTTATATAAACTTTAATAAATAAATAAACAAGATAAAATATAATACAACAAATAAAGTAACAACTAAAAAAGTAACAACCTAAATCTCATGAAAACGCTTTCAACATTAAGAACTAATAGAAATAGAAAATGAAGTATGAGTTTCACAGTTTATATAAAACAATTAATAGTAATAATTTGCTAATAAAAAATGATTTTCACAGTTTACATGTTTAAAACAATGAGTTATTTTGCTATTGAGAAATTATTTACATTTAAGAAATACTTTTAAAAAAATAGTTTAATTTTTTAATCAAAACATCAAAATTTTTATTTGAACAAAAACTCTAATTTTCTGTCTCCTTTGGATGCAAATATTTCAATAACTCTGTTAGTATCAGGAACTATTTCCTGATGAATAGACATTAAAGCAACTCCATTCAATCTATTTTCTGACATAGTACTCCTAGTGTAGGTTTTTATTCTCCTAAGAGTAGATATTGACCTTTCACACTTACAAGTTGTGATTGGTATTATAGCAAGTATATGAAAAGCCTCTAAAATTTTTGGAAAGCCTCTAATATCCATAAAATTTAATGTATCTGAAATAGATGGTAATTCTGTCTTTTCTTTCCAAAATTCCTCCCATAATTCTAATTCAGTATTTCCCATAATTCTAATTCAGTATTTCCCATAATTCTAATTCAGTATTAATTGATGAAAAATAAGGAAAATCATATTTATGAAAATTCAAAAAAATTAGGAATTTTTCTTTCCATGGACAAGATCTAAAATACTGGTTTGTCAAACTAGCAGGAATAGCACATAGACCATTATAAAAAATTAAGCTCTCAATATCAAACCTATTTTCTAGTTCATTGAGAAGATGATTAAGAAGAGGCAATTTAATAGAAACTTTAAAATAATCAGATAAAATATCACATAAGTATCTCTATGCTTCTGAACACTGCATGTTCTAGGTTTTTTTTTATCAATATAAAATGTTTTAGCCAATGCAAGAGCAATTTTATACCTTTTGTTATTATAAACATCAGCATTTCTTTGTATTTCTTTTAAATAATTAGTCAAATTTTGAATTTCATCCAGTTGCGGGGAAATATCAAAAGATTTAGTTTAAAGGGTGACCAAAGTTTCATAGAAATAATCCATTGTTGTTTAGTTAAAACTAAAGAAACTATAAAAGAAAAATTTGTCAATAACTTCATAAATAACTTCACTTTTTACAGCATTATGCCAGGTATTGAGTGGCTCTTTAAACAACTTACATAATGTATATTTGTTTGGTAAATTTGTACCAAAAAGTGTACAAGGAAGACAATATACACCATCTTCATTTTTAAAGTAACAAAGCCAAGAAAAATCATCTAACCATTTTAACAAAAAGAGTCTTTTTCTGCTTTTACCTGTTAAAGGGAATTGGAAGCATTTATCCGGAACCCAGACATTATTAATTAGAGATAACAGATCATGATAATTTGTTCATGATTTTAATTTTTCATCGTGTAGATGGTATGATGAAGCATTATAGTTTGAATAAGATGCTAACTGATTTGTATTTAAATAACTCATGTCAACAATGTTGTTTTCCTTTAATGGAGCATTAGATTCAAGAGTGTTTTTATCACTGTTGTTGGCATCTTTTGAGATAATTACTTCAATTTTAACTGTTTTATTGCAAATACCAGACTTATCTATATCTGAAGTGTTCTTAGAAACAGCAAGAAATAATAATTTAGACTGAATTGGCTTTTGTATTTTTTTTATCTGTAGGTGGAAAGCTAAACTTAGAAACCTTTTTTGATACTAAGTAAACTTGTATCACTCATAACAATAGCTGGTCGTTTTTTGGGAAGATCTTTAACCAGTGCCACAAAATGATTTGGCTTAAAACATAAAACACTTTTCTTTTTTGTTTTATCTAAATTGCACCACAAAATATTTATTGGACACTTTAATTTTTGGATAGATAGATTCAATAGGTTGAATTTATCTATCCTTTATAAGAAGTTCAGAAATCATATTATCGTTAATTGTTAAAAAACTGTCAGAGCATTTAAGCGAAACAGTGATAAAAAACAAATTAAAAAGCTGAAAATATTCAGATCTATGTTGATTAAAACAACTACAAAAATAATGATACCTTCAAATAACTCAATTGAGTCAGTAATCTTAGAATTTTTGAATTATGATTACTGTCGTTTAAAATCAAAGATACTGAGCTATAAAGACAATTTCCATCTTCAGTAGACCTTAGAAAAATAGTAAAATATATTAAAATGTAATAATAAGTATAATATACTAAAATATAATATTAATAAAAAAATAAAAATAAAATAGAGTAACTATAATAATTTTCTTTTATACCAATATTAAAACCTTTTAGTATATACCATAATTTCTTATTAAAAAATTAAATCACTTTTATGGGCTATTTGTATGTTTAATAAATAATTCAATTTCATACACATTATCATTGATATCTTAATGATATCAAGAATATAAATCTTAATAGTTAGTTAAGGCGGCTTTCCACTGAGCGAATTATTTCGCGCGACGCGAAATGTTTCGCCGCGAATATTTCTGAGCATGTGCACAATCATTTTTTTAATCGCCTAGCGAATTTTTTCTCTTCGCAAAATAGTTGTATTAACTTCAACTTTTTCTGAAGCGTAATTATTCGCTTGATGGAAGAGCCAATCAGGACTATTGAAATATGCAAACTCAGCAAATATGCAAATTCCGCATGTAGAAAAACAAACACAACAAAATTTTAATGGCCGACAATAAGTAACACGTTTATTGAGTGGTTTAAAGAAAGAAATGTTAGCGTAGATTTGTTGGAAACTTTAATAAATGCTTCTCAAAATCAATTTTCAATCACGAATGAAGAGGCGCTACTGCAGTTTCTCCCCCCTTTTTTTTATTGCTAATTATTATAGAGAATTTTATGCTGATTAGAAATCGTATAAAAAAATTAGGTCTGAAAATCAACAGAAAGTGCTCTAATTTGATGTTGAAGTTTAAAAAATTACACTAAAAAATGCTAATATTCGCCATTTTTTCGGCCGAAAAAATGGCGAATGCTATTCGCACGGCCACCGTGTTCCAATTCTAAAAAGGCTATTCGCACGCTGCCGTGTTCCCATTCTAAAAAGGCAACTCGCACAACCGCAAAACCAAATCTTGCAACCACTGATCTCAAAATATAACTGGATAGCGGATTCTATTGTTTTTTCCGAAAAAAGTTGAAGCCAAAATTGGCCTCCCAAGATGGCGGCGATTTTAGTTCCTAGCGGTAAAACCGATATATATTATATTTTACTTTATCAAAATACAAAAAAAAAAAAAAAAAAAAAATTAAACTTTTGTAAACTTGTAAGAAACAAGAAAATAATGAATTTTATAATTAATAATAATAAAAAAAGGAATTATCTTTTTTTATAATTGAATTTATTATTAAATGGCATTTTAAAATTTACAATTTTATGTACCTTTTAGTTCTTAGCTACCCAATGCTGTATGCTAGAAAGTTAATAACATAACAGCATGTTAAGCAGCAATCATGTCTACCTATAATTTTTTATTCTCTATTTTTTGTAACAAGATACCAATTTGTAAAAATGCTGCATGAAGTTCATGCAGCATTTTTACAAATTTTTACAATTAATAGTTCATGATGAACTATTAATTGAGAATTGTGAGTACACAGAAACTCAAGGGTTTCTTCTAGAATTATATTATACTTGAATGCTATTATTGCATAAATTGTCACTTGTACTGTTAAAAAAACAGGTCTGAATTATGTTATTTATAACAAATTTTAAAACAAATAAAAAGTTAATGATCATTTCTTACTTAATTACTCAATACAAATAAGGATGCAAATGTATGTAAAAATACATTTGTTTGAAAAAAATGTATTAATTAAATCTTTAATATAAAAATAATCAAAACTTCTCTTTGAAATATCTTCATAACTAAAGTTATATATACTGTTTACCTGCTGTTAAGTATTATGGTTATATGCTATAGTTTGGTGACTTTTATGTTAATTAAATGCATGTTGCAGTTAAACAATTTTATAAATTTTTATATTATTGTCTGGTCTAAAAACTGGTTTTATTGGATAGTTGGTAGCTATTAAATCTGTTTAAGATATATTTCTAAACTGAGTGGAAAAGTAGGTTAAAATTATAAATAAAATTATTATAAACCATAAAATTATTAAATATATAAGCTTTTTATTAGAGCTTATTAATTGCCAACAATTTACAGCCACGTATATATCTTCATCTCACATATATATGATCTTGAGCGTTCAATATTAAAATGGAATAATCACAAATATCTACATAATCTTGGTAATATTGACCACGATTATGCAGATATTCCAAATTGCATCATTCTATTTGAATTCAAAAAATTTCATAGATTGCTGGATAAACAGCTAAAATGATATAAAATAAATAATCTGCATTAAATGTATATATTTATATTTATACAATATGTATATAATATGTATATATGTATATATGTATATATGTATATATATATATATATATATATATATATATATATATATATATATATATATATATATATATATATATATATATATATATATATATATATATATATATATATATATATATATATATATATATATATACAAACATATGTGTGTGTAGTGATTTTAGAAGAATACAACCAAATAAAAAATAATGTACAAATAATTACATATAAAAAAATTCTAGAAGGAACCCCTGAGTTGTGTATACTCACAGAGCTCAGCTAATAGTTCATGCAGCATTTGTAAATTTATAATATCTATTTAAAAAACTAATTAAAAGTTTATTTTAAAAAGATATTCAGCTGCCTACCATGCAGTTATGTTATTAACCTTCTAGCACACAGCATTGGGTAGTTAAGAACTAAAAGGTACATAAATTGTATAAAAAGCAATATTAAACAATTAATTTATGGTAAAACTAAATATATGTTATAATATACCATTTATTTACTTTTCATTTTAGTTTTACCATAAATAAACTTTTTATCTGTATATCATATAAAAATAAAAAATGATTAAAATGATTTCAGTCTTTTACATTTCAAACATTTATTTTAGTTGTCTAGAAATTGTTAATAACTACTAGAGTCTTATTTTAATTCCACTAATAGGTTATAACTAGTTATAACTAATAACTAATAGGTTATAACTAGTAATAAGCTATTAATAATAGGTTATCACTAGTTATATAGAGTAACCTAGTAGTTTATCTACTAGGTTTTAGGTACTATTTTTTTGTGTGCTCTTTACTAATGTTAAAATAAACTAGTTTCTAATTAATTTAACTAAAAATTTTTATCCTATTTAATCAAATTTTTTACAAAAAAAAAAAGATTTAATGACAAACAAACTTACTGTTTAGAAATTACTTACTGTTTAGAAATTAAATAAAATAAACTTACTGACAAACTTACTGTTTAGAGTATATTTTGTTAACCAAAATATTATAAATATTTTAGAAATTTACGTAAATATGTAATATTGTTGCTATGTAAAACCAAAAATTATATTTGTATTTGAGACTTGTACATTTATTTTTATATAAAAAAAGATATAAAAGTTCGTTACGAAAATTTCTAAA